ACACCAAATCCTTCATTAATATTGGATTGCTTACGCTTTGTAATACATGGCAGTGTCATCATTGCTATTCAAGATATATTTTTTGATGAATGAAATTCATCTGTATCTGTACAGGAATATATTTGCTACTTCAATTATTTTGGCAGTAATGGCTCAGCTTAGAGGATGCTTATGTACTCCTTCCTTCCAAAGACCTCTGGTACTCCTTGAAATATATATTTGCTATATTTCCCTTTTAAATTTTGGAGAAAGTGGGCGTCAATCCTACCTCCAAAAAAAAAAAAAAAAATTGTAGTCCCAAACCAAACAACGTTGTTTTACTCTAAAAAACCCAGCCCTATTGTTCGTCTTTTCTCTCAAAAATCCAGCCCATGCTCCTCACCTCCTCCGATTCCTTCAATTTTTTACTCAAAAAGCTCACCAGTAATGTCGCCCCCTCTGCAATCATCTCCATCTCTCTCTTTCCCCCTTTTCCCTCATGTGAGGTTGAGGCAAGTAGAAGCCAAGAGACATAACCACACCTCCTCACGAGCTTGAAGTGCCATAGAACAAAAGAAATCGAGATTTGTGTTCCTTTGTCACACGAGCTTAAGGGAGTTGCGAACCAATTTATTTGGGTTTTGCAAGTTTGGTTGCTGTGATTTTGGTTACAATAGTGCTGAAATTAAATGATGAGAATTGAAATTGCAATTTTAGTTATAATAGAGGAAACCCAGATCTAGGTTTGTTGTCTTCAAAGATGTTGCAACATTTATTTTCTTTTCTAGGTTTGTTTTTGAATGGTCTAGCCATGGTTGCTTTCTTCATTTCCTCTCATTTCCTTATAGATTTTGAAAACCCAAATCTGGGTTTGTTAATTTATTTTAAATCATGCTCGTTTTCTCTCATTTTCATACAGATTTTGGTTATATTTTTATTCTTTTCTTATTCTCTTATCAATATTATTCCAATCAGAAGATTGGATTTTCATTTTCTTTTTTTATTACCCTCTTGGTTGCGAGAGATTGTGGGGTTTATTGTATTTTGTAGGGGTGGAGTCAAGGAGGTGAGGAGGCGATGGAGATGATTACATAAGGGACAAAGAAGGAGATGGAGATGATTGTCGAAGGAAGCGAGGAGCAAGGGCTAGACTTTTGAGAGAAAAGACAAACAATAGGGCTAGGTAGGGGTGTTCATATCTGATCCAATTCGATTGATCTGACCTAAACTGATCCAATCCGATAAAAAGTCAAACCAAATCGATATAAAATTGAGTTGGTTTGGATTGGATTGTAAAATTTTAAAACCGATATAATTTATTTAGTTTGTAGTTTTACCTTCAAATTGCTTGAACTGCTCGATTACGAAATAAAATATGATTATAAGATAACTTAATTAAATAATATAGTATATTTTTTGTACTTGCAAAAAAAAGTATATTTTTTGTAATATTTTAATTTTTTCTTATTTTACAAGATGATAACTCTATTAACTTAATTAAAAAATAAATTTAAAATATTCTCATATTCTCTAATTTATTTTCCTTTCTAAATCGTGTACTCTAAATCTAATTCTAATTTTCAATTCACCTGCAATTCTATTTTTTAAAACTGATTTACGACTATAGTTTTAGAACCCTAAATTTTTAATTTATTCTTAAAATAATATTATGATTCTCTTAACTAAATTTTAAGAAATATCATTTTAAAAGTCTTAAAACTATATAATATCACTAATTTTAATATTCTACTATTCTTGAATATTTAGTTGAGGAGTTTTAAATGTTAATTATAAATGCTTCTAACTATGTCTAATGACATTCATGTTAAATTTTATTTACTTTTAATAGGGTTTGGAAGATGGGATTGAATCATTTGGTGCATTAAGAGAAAAAAAAAAAACTAATTTTAACCTTTAAAAATTACTTGTACTGTATTTAAAATTTAGAATCACCTTTTATTATCTTTAGTGTCTCTAGTGATATAGCCAAAAAGAATTTTTTGATCTTTTCAATCTTTCAATAATAACTGAGTATAAGAATTTATTTATAATTTGTGCATTTTATTATGTTTCTAGTGATTTGATATTAATTTACTTTATAGTTATATTTTCTACTTAATGTTAAAATTTTTTATATTATCTTACATATTTAATAAAATTAAAAATTGATCAATCCGATTGAACCACACCGATCCGATTTAAATTGGATTGATTTGGTTATCATATAATAGTGGATTAGATTGATTTAAAAATTTTATTAACCAATTAAATTGGATTGGTTTAAAAAATATTAAAATCTGAACCAAATCACATCATGAACACCCTTAGGGCTGGGTTTTTGAGAGGAAAATAATGCTGTTTGGTTTGAGACTTCAAATTTTTTTGGAAGGTAGGACTAATGCCCACTTTTCCCTTAAATTTTTATAAATAGAATATAATTTTCTTAAATTGAATTTGTCCCTTCAGGCAATGAATAGTTTACATTATTTACAAACAGCAAATAAGCTATCCAAAGATGCCCATTAATAGGTTAAGCGGGTCTTAGAAGCCTTCAAAGAAAGCAACAAGTTCCACCGTGGCCTAGATATCTGAACTAAAAGCAATGAAGGTCATTTTATACACTTGGAAGAGAGTTTTCCCTAATCTAATAACAGGCTAATTACAGGTTAGCAGTAAATTTCCATGATATCAAACAGAAGCATATAGTTTTTCCTCAATTGTCAACACTTACGTTCCCCAGTGAAGCAAAATCAGAATAAAGCTACTATCAAAGGTTCTGACCACTAAGCTTGACACATCTGGTACTCGGGGAAATACCAGAATGATAAGTTTGCAATTATGGCACCAAACAAGCAAAAGAAAATGAAAGGAACTTTGCCATCCTAATTGATGAGTCTGACAAGAAGAAAATTTATAAATATTGTTTCCTCTAAATCCCCTAATGATCATAGCCCGTATAAGCATAACAATGATTGTCAAAAAAGTTTAACTCTCTTTAAGTAAATTTTTGAATTTAAGTCCTATGAATAAAAAAATAGATATTAAGAGAATTTCTTTTTATAGAGTCTAATGTGACTCTAAATTCAAATTCATCAGAACTCAATATCAAAATTCAATTTTATTATACCCTAAATCAAGTCCCATGAGAATCAAGATACGTGAAGACATTCTAGAGATAGTCTTATCAAAGTTGGTTAGGATAAATTTCACTAGAATAAGAATACCCCAAACACCAACTAAATAAAATAGTATTCCTAGAATAACTGTATTTAAGCATCCTATAAATACCTCTAAGATCAACCTAAGGGAGTAGATTATTTTTCCATCACCATTCTCTTTTCATTGTAAACTCTCTCTATCAATAAAGATCTCGGTTCCACACCATCTATTCTATTTTTTAGTGTTAACATTTGGCGCCTACCATGGGGCCGAGTTCTTTTTGATCCACGAATACCACATGGAAAATTTAGAAAATTCATCACCTCCTAGCATAAGTACCCCAAGTTCTAGAAGTAAAGCTAGAATGAGTAACTCTTTGTCATCAAGAACAAACCCAAGAAATACTATTAATAAAACAAAACCATCAGATTCAACCATGGCATCACAAATATAGAAACTTACACAAGACATGGAGGAGACGAGGCAAAGTTTAAAAGCAATTGAGTAAACCATAGCATCCATGACAAAAACTGCTAACATGTCATCGCAAGAAGTAAGGCGTTAGCGCTTGTCACAAAGCGATGCCAGGACATTAGAGGGGAAGGAGCAAGATTCAACACAAGAAAACAACAATCAAGATGAAAGTTATGTACCTTCAAAACCAACAGAATTGACGATCAAAACGAGTCTGCAACCATCCTCAGCTTTCACTCAATATAATTTTTGAAGCAAAAATGTGATACCTTGCACACATTCAAGCCAAAGAAGGGACAACCAGCAAGTCCATAAGGCTACATTTGCCGCAACAGAACCACAAAAGGCAGAAACACAGGTTCATGATGACGATATTTACAAAGAAATTGAAGCATTGCAAGAACATCTGGAAAAAATAGAATCAAGCAGGCAGAGGTACGCAGAACCAGCACACACAGCTTCAATAGAAAAAGCTTTTATAGACGAAATCATTAGGGAACCTATGCCATCAAATTTCAAAACTATGCAGCTAGTTGAATACGATGGAACTTAAGATCCAGTGGAGCATGTGCAAGGGTATAGAATGGCAATGATGGTATATGGAGCCTCGAATGCTTTATTATGCAAGCAATTTCCAACAACTTTCAAGAAAGCTGCGCAAACTTGAGCTTCTCGAAAGACCAACCATTATCTCCTAACAATCAAACAGAAGACAAGAGAGTCACTAAGAGCCTACATAGCAAGATTCGATAATGAAGCTGTGCATGAACAATTTAACAACTTCCCAGATAAGTTTCATATCTTTTTACAATATTTAAATAATTATTTTCATAAATTTATCAAATCTTGAAAGCACTAACAATTTTCTCATGTCTCTCAAGTAATTAAGATAGCAAAATATATATAGCTTGTTTCTACTTTGAACCTGCACAGGAGAAAATCTTAAGATGATATAATATGCAAGCAAAAGCTACGCAAACGAAAGTTGCAAGCAAGTTTGGGTGTACGAGTGTACATTAAATACCCAAGCAGAAGTTACACAAGCAAAAGCTGTGAGCAAGTTTGGGTGCACATTAAATACCCAAGCAAAAGTTATGCAAGCAACAAGCTGTGTGCAAGTTTAGGTGTGCATAAATACCCAAGCAAAAGTTACACAAGCAAAAGCTCTGAGCAAGTTTGGGTGTATATAAATATCCAAGCAGCTTGCGAGAAAGCTGCGAGCAAGTTTGGGCGTACATAAATACCCAGGTAAAAGCTACGCAAGCAAGGCTACAAAAGGTTCAACAAGGAGCCCGAAAAGCTAAAGAAGGATACCTTGAGAACCTCCGCATCAATAGAATTACTCCTACTATGAATAGTTATAGCAGAATCCTCTGCGTCCCAAAAGCTGCTCAATCTTTCCTTTACTTCAACCAGAGATTTACCTAGCTGAACATACGATGGACCTTAATCATAAATTTTCTCTAACTTTGGATCAACTTAAGCCTCCACAGCAACATCTTGATGAGCTTGACAGCAAGATTGAAGTAGCCCAAGCTACCAGAAAGAGCGAAGGCTCTACCCTTAGAAGACTCCTTAGAAGACTAAATAACAGAGGAAGACAAAGCTTGACGAGAGGAAACCTGCACCCTTAGATCCGAAATGGACTTCTCCAAAGCAAAATTCACAGAGGTTCAACAAATCCTTACTTCTCTCCCGCATCCTAAACAAATCAACAATAGCACGAGGAGCCAATTGGGGTAGACTAATGGAAAATCCGTCACAGATTTTAAGGATAAAAAAATGCAAAAGAAAATGCAACCTGCATGCAAATTGATCCTTGTAGACACACATATTAGAAGGAAGGCATTGAAATGCTGCGCAACGCATAGGATATTAAGGAAAAACCTACGGATCCATCAAGATTCTCTTTATAAATCTCATCCGCATCACAACTACTTGTGACCCAAGACACCTTATCAAGATCACAAAACACCTTTGTCGAGCCTAAAGGGAGGACAACCCTTCCACCCTTCGAAGAAGAAACCAAAGGAACCTCTAAAGATAGAAGGAATCACAGGATCCCTCTCCACATGGCATGAAGCACCTTTCACAACAAACTTCCCATCTGCATTACGGGGAAGACAGAAAACATCAAAAAACTCAGACAAAGAAGAAGACAATGGAGTACCCACACCATCAGCAAAAGCCGAAATTGGCAAAAAGCCAGAAGCAGAAGGATCAGTAGCCATGGTAGGCGCAACCAACGCAACACGAAGTCGGAAAGGGTCTACTTGCAAAAAGAAGAAACCAAAAGAGCAACCAACCCAACACCGAATCAAAAGGGCCTATCCGTAGAAAAAAAAGAAATCGAAATGAAAAAGGAAGTCAAACAAAAAAGAAAAAGAAGAATCGGGAAACCCAAGAAAGCCCCATTTGAAAGCCAAAAGGATAAATTGCATAAAATCCCAAGGAAATAGGGGTTTGAACTTGGAAGGACCTGTCATACCAATAAACCATACAATGGGGGCCAAGTGCACAAAAAAAGGCTACCAAGAAGTAGCAAATTCGGGAAATGCAGCTGTGGAGATATGGAAAAATCAAGAAAAGACCTGAACAAATCAACACAAATCTGAAGAACAATTAATTTCAAATTCTTTAATGAGAAAACTGCGCCAAGAATCATGAAGGAAAAACCTGTGCTACACTCTTTTTTCCTTAAGTTAGATTTTTTATCCCACAGGATTTTTTCTAGTTAAGGTTTTTAACGAGGCAATCATAGTTGAAAAAGTGGGAAACTGCGTAGAATTCAAAACCAAGCTCAGCAAAGCAATAAGAAAGACAGACACCCATTGAAGTTTTCACTACCCTCAAACTTCTTCATTGGGGGGTAAATGTTACACCCTAAATCAAGTCCCATAAGAATCAAGACACGTGGAGACACTCTAGAGATAGTCTTATCAAAGTTGGCTAGGACAAATCCCACTAGAATAAAAATACCCCAAACACCAATTAAATAAAATTATATTTCTAGAATAACTGTATTAAGCATCCTATAAATATCTCTAGGATCAACCTAAGGGGGTAGATTATTTTTTCATCACCATTCTCTTTTCATTGTAAACTCTCTTTATCAATAAAAATTTCGGTTCCACACCATCTATTCTATTTTTTAGTGTTAACAAATTTAATTTTGGTAAAACAGACAGTTAATAAAAAAACAATTATGGTCATTGAATGGAAACTCTCTAAAGGTAAGTTTCCAGTACGTTAGCAAGTTGACAATATTGTACGGCTTCCATGTAGATATGATTGATTATACAAAAATGCATTTTCTCTTTAGCATCAATTCAATATAGAGATTGCGGTTTTAGGTGTACTGCACATTTTGTAATAATTAATAGTGAGAAATCATCTAAAATTAATTAGAATTTTATCTTTCATTAATGATTATAAAATATGCATTTATAACTAAGTTTATGTTAAAATGTAAGCAAGAAAAATTGACAAAAAAAAAAATAAAAATGAAAGTAATTTCATTCACAATCACAAGTCATAAAATTTGACGTCAAGTAATATATATGTTTTACACATAATAATAAAGAAAAATTTTTAAAATAAAATCGTTGCAGTTTAATAGAGGAAGTGAATACCAACGCTCTGCAATGAAACTATTTTTGACAATGTAAAATGCTATTGATGGCAAATAGAATCTCTAACTTTTGTTTACAAATAACCAAATTCTTACCGTAGAATCACAAAGTCATATTTACACAATATTTATCAATTTTACACATTATCAAAACATGTCTCATATATAAGATTAATACTTTCATACAGTTTAATATAAAGATCAAATACATCCGCACGTAACACGGTTGATCTCCTTGTATATCATAATGTGGGATTATGTCTTTTCCATCTAAACAAGGATCAATCAAGAAGATTGCAGTTGATCATGGTTTTCAACTTTCTCACCTCCCAGGGTTTGATGGTGAGATTTTATGTAGGGAAAGGTCGGTCTCATTGAATAAGCAAAAACCTACTTTGAACCCTTCACCTTATCAAGTTTGAAGGTTTTAGCCCCACCTTACACTATGACACTTTGAATCCCTCATCTTACTAGATTTATTGGTTTTAGCCCATCACCTATTAAAATCGAAGAAAATAGCCTTCAATTTATACTGATTGTTAATTTTGTTAGTTAAAAATAGATTTTTGTCAACTAACAATCAATTAATAGTCAGTTAATAGAATTAACGAAATATTATAATATTAGTTTTGTTAATTCTATTAGCTGGAAGAAGATTTTTGTAAGCTAACAGTCAACTAACAGTCAGTTAATAAAATTAACAGTCAACTAACAAAACTAACAAAATATTACAAAATGAGAACTATTTTTCTTTAATTTTAATAACCCCTCACCTATTAAAATCGAAAAAAATAGCACTCATTTTATCTGACTATTAACTGTGTTAGCTGAAAGTAAGTTTTTATTAACTAACAGTCAACTAATAGTCAATTAACAAAATTAACGAAATATTATAAAGTTAGTTTTGTTAGTTGAAAGAAGATTTTTGTAAGCTGACAGTCAACTAACAATTAGTTAATAAAATTAACAGTCAGCTAATAGAACTAACAAAATGTTACAAAGTGAGGGTTATTTCTTTCAATTTTAATAAGTGAAAGGTTAAAAGTGTTATAGTATAAAGTAATAAGTTAAAATCTTCGAACTTGCTAAGGTGAGGGGCTAAAGGTAGGCTTTTGCCTATTGAGTACGGTATCAATTCAATTGTTGAATATCCCCAGCCGCCAGGCATGCATGCTTATTTGATTAATATGGTTTGCTTTGCAAGAGGTTGCAATGAGAGTAAGGGTTATCTCTTTGTATATTATTGCAAACCCAACAATAAAAGAAAAATGCATATGTTCTGCGAGTAACCGAGTCTTGAATAATAGGATTATATCTTTTCTTTCTGTTAACTTGCGTTGCGTCTTTCTTGTACAATATCCACTTGCTAACAATGTTCTTCGAGTTGAGAAATCTTTTCAGAATTTGGACTACTTTAGTGCATTATAGTAGGAAAATAGAAAATCAAAGGAATTTCATATAATGCAATGAATGCACTACACGGCCTGGACACAAAACCTTGCTTCCCATAAAGAAAAAGGATTTGTCTAGCTTGCATTTTAAAAATACAAATTAAAACTCATTAATTAAAAGTATTTTAAATTAATTTTATACAATTTTTCATATCAAATTCATAATTTTATACAAATTTTGAGTATAAATATTATATTATTTTTAAATCTTATATGAAATTTTATACAAAATTAATTACAAATATTGGAATTAATTTCCTAAGGGCACAAGTTAAAAAAATTCCCTAGAAAAATATTAAAGTTATCAAGTCTGTAACGAAGGAAATTACAACACAAGTTAATAAGAGCCAATTTTACAAGAGAATTGAGTTACTTCTGTTTCTTCTTTCCCTGTAAAGTTGACGTAGGAGGAAGTGCTCTCTATTTGGTAAACACGCTACATCTACTCTCTAAATCCCCTTCCTATTCTCCCTCATTAGATTCATCTCTACGTGATACAGTAGACTCCTCAATGCTTTTAGAGGCTTTTCTTTTTCCAACATCTAACTTTGCATATAATTTTCTATCAACAGGATCATTAGAAGGTCCAACTTTGGATTGCCGAGAAACTTTAGCTCCTAGTCCAAGCCTAAAAACAAATGATTCAAACCTTGCAATTAGTTCAGAGTAACAGAATAAAGCAGTAATAGAAGATGTAAACTATACTTAGGAGGTCGGCCTTCTGGCTCTACTTCTACTGGTTCATCCTCCACAGATCCACTCATATTATTAACCCATTGTTCAGCCTGCATATCACTAATCTCAGCTACAAAGGAAAGAAAATCACGAGTTCATTGTGTTGTGACACAATTGATACTGATAAAAGATGGTCAAATGCAAAACAGCCTAGCCAAACCACTCAGAATCTAATATAAATGATCATCCATCGAGAATTCGAAAACCTTTCTTTTTATCTTTATAGAGTAGTATTATACCATAATTAATACGAAAAAGGTATAGCAGCTCTTACAATATCTTGCTCAAGCAGCAATCTTTGGCTCAAATCAGCTTGATTTTCCATTGGACATAGCAACAATCAAGATATTCTCCACAGACTTCAACTTGGTATTTATTCCAGCTGACTAATCCAAAAGGCAGCTTTTACAATGCAGAGAAGACAAGATATTCTCAATACAAGGATGAACAAAATTAAATTAAGTGAAC